TTTTGAAGGTTTGCCTTTTGCTGGTCTGTGGTTGCTTGCCCATTGTGCCATTTTGTATTTTTTATTTTCTAAATTGGCTTTTTGAGATATATTTTTTTTTTCTCGTAACCAAAACTCAATACTTGTACTAACTACTTCTGGAATATATTCTGTTAGGCAAATCTTTTTGAGTTCTCTTATATAGTTTTTGATGAACTATTTTTAATGAGAGTCTAACTAGTTTGTAGAAAATATTGAGCGAATATGACTTAAAGAAACTATGTACGGAGATTATTTTGAATAAAGGAGGAAATAAAATTGCTTTTTTTTTTTCCTCAATATGTCTCTGGGGAGTTCTGCCTAGTCATACCATCTGCTGTCGCATCGGGAATTCTTTCCGATTCTATCATCTACTGTTGTATGGTGAGTTTATGGTAATATTTCCATTAGTATTTCACACATGCTTGATGCTTCTTTAGGCACTTGAAGTTATTGAACTGGATCAAAAAACACATCTAGTGCGTGAACTTGATGGTCATGTTATGAGATGCGTCCGTGATCAAAATGGGAATCACGTTATACAGAAGTGTATAGAATGTGTTCCTTCAGAAGAACTTGGTTTTATCATTTATTCTTTTGAAGGTCAAGTTGCTACACTTTCAACTCATCCATATGGCTGCCGTGTTATCCAGGTAACACAAAATATGAGCTGATTGTGTCATATGATGAACTTAATGTTATGTCTCTTCTTTATTTTTTATTTTTATTTTTATTTTTCTTTTTAATGGAAAAATAAAAAAAATTGATTTGATTTGATTTTGGTTTTGTTTTTCATTTTCGATACGGCTACAGAGAATTTTGGAGCATTGTTCAGATGAGGCCCAGAGTCAGTGTATAGTGGACGAAATATTGGACTCTGTTTATGTTCTTGCTCAAGATCAATATGGAAACTATGTCATTCAGGTTTTAGTTTTTACTTGGTTCTTTTTATTCTCTCCCTTTCTACTATGCGATCCTCATCCGTGAATTTGTTAAGACCTAATTTCCATTTGCGTTATGTTCATAAAAAACAAAATTTGATTTTCAGGGCTGGAAATTAAGAATAAAATATTTTACGAATGATCTATCTAATAACATTCTGATGGTTAAATATCCATATATCTCAGTGTGTCCTCCCTGTGTGTCTTTCTCTATCTCCTTCCACTCAAGCAGCTCGCCTTGATGGCAATGATGAATTTAGTTCTGTTGCTAAAATGATAAATTATTTATTTTCTAGAATCTCGGTTATTTGGTTTGCTATCTTTAATTTGCTGGTTATGGAGATACCTAAATCAGATCATTCTTTTATTATTATCACTACCACCACCATTACTAGATGTAGGTGACAGCGGATTGGTCTTTCCACATAATATACTCATGGAAATTTTTGTATTGGAGTATTCCGGGATGTAGATAAAGCTTTTTAGGTCCTATAATGACTTGTTTCCTGTGTGTCATTTAAGATATGATGCAAAACATTGTAACAAAATCAAATTCTTGCGAGGTTATGTTGCCAGATTGGTATCAATTGCCAAGATATCAAATCTCTAAAGTGGTTCCTATTTTACTCATCACGAGTCTTAAGTGTACGGATGATGATAACTTTTGAGGAAGCCAAGGTCATATTATGCCGCTTTAATATTCCTACTTTGTTTAGGTATCAGTTACTAAATATTGACATGTTTTGAATAATTTACTTCATCAGATTTATAGGTCTATAAAATATCCCAATTTATAAGTTGCATACTTCTTTCCGATGAAATATTATTAGCATGTTTGTTATAGGCAAAACTGCAAAAGATTTTCAAGCAAGTTTGTCCATTGGAAGTTGGTTTAATCATACATTGCTCTCTAGTCTTTTTAGTCTTTTTAATTATTTTTTTTCACGGGAGTAACCATTTTATGCAAGGTGTGTGTAATTTATGTTTTATTGCTGCAGCATGTTCTTGAGAGGGGAATGCGTCGTGAAAGAAGTCAAATTATCAGCAAGTTGGCTGGAAAATTTGTGCGGATGAGCCAGCATAAATATGCATCAAATGTCGTTGAAAAGTGCTTGGAGCATGGTGATACGACTGAAAGAGAGTTGATAATTGAGGAAATTATGGGGCAATCTGAGGAAAATGATACTTTGTTGGTATGCCATTTAAGCATGTTCAAGATATTAAGAAAAAATATGATAGTTATTTGGTTCTGTTCCTCTACCACCAATATGAAACACTCAATAAAGCATTATGCATTCATATGCTCAGATGCCTGATCCATTACACTGCTAAAACTTTTCTCTGCCATTTAATTTCGGACTCCCAAATTCTTCTGTGAGTGTCCTTATTGTTTCCCATTAAGTCTCAACTCTTACTGCCTATTCCTATCAAATATCTCAAGTAACCTAGCTCGGTTCTCAACTTTATTTTTGTGGTTACTTGCATGTTCTTGAATGGTGTCTTGCATGTAAGAACTGTAGTTTTCATTCTTGGGCAAATTGGGGGATGTTTATTTATGATTCTAGTGTTCTGATGGCCATGAAATTTTGATCTGAATATAAAAATTATTTCTTCTGTCAACAGTGTCTGTCCACCCTAGTGAATCTTTGTACAACTAATTACTTGGTATTTTTGGTGATAATCTTTCTAGAAAATGATTCTGACCAGATTTACAAGTTGTTTAGGAATTTAATAGCGGTACTCTTAACATTTTTGAGTATGTTTCTTTTCCATATGATATGCAAAAAGGGTAAAAGCATTTTGTTATTTGTGTTCTTTTAAGCATTTAAATGTAATCTTTGACCTGCTTATCTTTCCCATAGTAGTTTGTTTATTTCAATGTAAACTTCAAATACTACAGTATCCATTCATTCTTCAAGTTTCTCAATGTGATGCAAATTGATACTCGGATGTTACTGATCTTTTTTCCTTGTTCACTGTCTCAGGCAATGATGAAAGACCAGTTTGCAAATTATGTTGTTCAGAAGATAATTGAAATATGCAATGATGAACAACGAGAGATACTGCTGAATCGTATCAGAGGTCATCTTCAAGCTTTGAAGAAATATACTTATGGGAAACACATAGTTGTTCGACTTGAACAATTGTTGAGTGAAGGTGCGTTTATATCTTAGCCTAACAATCTGCTTGCTACTCAATATCAGCAGAATAGATCATCAACCACACTAACTACACGTGAAATTGAAAAATGCATATCTCAAGTTCTATGAATTCTGTTAAATGCAACATTGGTTAGTATTCTACCAATTAAATGTTCATCTGGGTCTCCAATCAGCTTGTGCTGGTTGCTTTACATATCTATATCTAATATTATTTTACAACCGCTAAATATGATCTGTTGGGTCCAGAAAGCCAAGCTTCAGCAGCTTGAGAAGTTTGGAAGTTGCGGGTGGATGCAAATGAATCAAAACACAAGATAGGCGGGTTCGATTCTTTGGTTGAAGTAGTTCTGTTGTCAACTCAACTGCTTGATTCGTAGTTAATGGTATATGAGCTGTATGTATGTATATTAATGTATATATAAATGGTTGATGATGTTAACTATGAAGATCAGTAGGAATGGAATGAATGAATGACTGGCCAGGTTAGAGTTGCTTGCTTATCTGGTGCGTGCAGAGTTTCCTTTGATTAACTCTCACCACCTCATCTAAACAGCAGGTTGATAGGACAGGCTTAGTTCTACTGCCAATTGTTGCTGCTCTGCAATGCCTAAATCTATGAATTCTAATACGCAAGTTCTTCTTCTGGTTTCTTGTTTTCGTTTGAAGACAACAAAATGGTGTTGCTTTGAATAATATAACAATATTAGTTAGTACAGTCTATGAAAAATGCTATCGTTTATATGCATTGCCTCCAGTAATTTAAGTTCATTGCATGAGGTTTTAAAGCTATTATTCAATTAGCAGTTTAGTATATTTTTGGGGAACAGAAATAAAACAAATTTAAGTGCGGAGGCGTATCCCAAATGATCGATTGATGACTTCCATGAGCGACTCTCATCCAGCCATGTGTTGGTTAAATCTGTCTCTCTGAACGAACTTCCCAAGAATGACTTGCTGATTTCTAAAATCTGTCACCAATTTAGAAAAGGGTATGGAGATACTCGAAACCCGAGACCCTAAACCCTAAGAGAATGATAGCTCACACTAGTTCAAACATTTGTAATTGTAAGTAAAGTTCTAACACCTATTTAACCATTTATTTTAATGTACTTTTAGGAGTTCGAGTAATTAACTACGTTTGCCCATGGTTAACTAAACTTAGGTGAAGAACAAAAACATACTTTCATGACTTTAAAGGTTGTATTCCGCGGTGTAGGTAAAAAAAACGTCTTATTTCTAGGTATTTTTACTAGATTGTATTTATGAAAACATAGGCTTTTCGGTTTTCCATATATTGTGTTCACCTAATTGATCAATTTAAGTTGACAATGAACTTGCACTTCTATGAAAGTAAACTAAATCTGTTTACAAGATGAGACTTTCTTCCTATTTATGGTCACATGTTCGAATTTTTTTCGAAGAAATTTAGCTCACTAAACTAAATAAAATAACAGTATAAATATAGAGAATGAAACACGTCTTTACACATTCTTTCACATGCTTGACAAATTTTACATGTTGTCAAGTCCATATACAGTGACGTATGGATCCTGTATTTAACTTCTACAGAAAAACATTAAAACTTAACAAACTCGGTTATGTTTTGCATTAAAACTATTATCCCCCGAACTTTTTTGATGCTGCTGTAACGTTTCTCCATTTTCTTTTTATCATTTCTTCTATGAAGAGTATAGTTGTCACATGTAACTTCATTCAAACTTATTAACACTTCGTAGTGAAAGTATGACTACTATTTCATGTATAGAAAAGTATAGGTTTCATGAATTGCCGTAGGATGTCTTTTTCATTCTTAAATGGGATGGAGATTTGTGTGTGAGCCTGATTCCTATTGGCATAAAATTATTGCGAGCATTAATGATCTCAATATTCATAATTGGCTTATGACTGAAACAAAAGGATTGGCCTTTGTATTTCTAAGTTTGTTAAGATTGACATGAAATACAACTTGCTATTCAATAAATTGTTTACATCACCAAAACGCACCCTTTATGTTTTTCAATTCTGTGATTCAGAATTTCGCAAATAATAGAACATATATTTTGTTGAACCAAAAACCTTGTGGTGATAATTGTGTATATGGGATGCTAAGGTCATCTAGAATACCGGTTTACAAGCATCTTAGCATTCTCCGGAGCAAAGAATCGGGCCTGCACATACCCATTTTTATTGCAAATTGTAATGTAATGTAAAATTAATAGCAACTGAAATAAGAACATAGAATGTCATCCTACTGAATCAACATACACTTAGTTCAGGGTCTAGAATTCATTGGTTCATATACCACTTGTTAACTAACATCAAGAACCTAATAAGCCTAAAATAAGAACAGTTATGTTTATATACTTGTTTTTTTCGATAAGATGTTTAGATATTCGTTAAGTCTTTCATGCACGGTGTAAATAGACCTATGAAAAATTAGTATTGTGCAGATAATATCACTTTGGCTATGCAAATAATTTGGAAACGGATACTATTACCATAGATACTATTATACTCACTTGGATGAACATCCTCTCAGCATCCCCAGCGCTGCCATTTTCCTTCAGAATAATTCCCTGTTGAAGCATCATTAAAGAATGCTGATATACCTCTTTGTTGTAAATTAATGATATCATTATGAAGCAAGTGAACTTGAAGACGAAATTTAAAGAAAAAAAGGGTTGAAATACAAACATGGATGTTAAATGCCAAAGAAACGAGACATCCCTCATTGAAAACATGTTTTTTTTAACAAGAAATGGGACTTTTTATTAAGAAAATGAAAATAGACCAATGTTGAGGATTGTTGGGAGAGAGTCCCACATTGGTTAATTTAGGGAATGATCATGGGTTTATAAGTAAGGAATACATCTCTATTGGTATAAGGCCTTTTGGGGAAGCCCAAAGCAATGTCATGAGAGCCTATGCTCAAAGTGGACAATATCATACCATTGTGGAGGACTATTATTCCTAACAACTAATGCTCTAGAAATACAAATTCCACAAGAGAGAGAAATTATAGCATGTCCAAAACATACCAATGTAAGTAAATATCTAGGAAAGAAAAAGCTACAAAACCATTAGAAACAAGTAATAATTATATTCTAACGATACTTCATTTCCATACAGCATCAATGTTTTATATGCTAAAGCCAAAATTGATTCTAAATCCAATTTTCAACATGCAAACATGACCCATTTCCTAACCCAGATCTTCATTCTTAAAATTTCCATGTAACCGAAACAGATTAAGTAGCAGTATATTGTTGCTAAGAAGACAGAAGCATTGGAAAAAAGTATAAAAAAGCCCAGAATAATAATTTTAACAAGCAATAAAGGAGTAACATGATAAAATCGTTACTTTCTCTTTTACAGGAACATAGTATATACACACACACAAAAAAAAAAACTTTTGACATGAAATTTGTAGAAATGAAAAAATTGTTCATCTGGTGTGTGGGTGAGGGAGAGAGAGAGAGAAAGAAACCTTAGCTAAGTAACCACGGAAATCATTAGGGTGACTGGTGATGAGTTGATCATAAACAGATACAGCGTCACTAACATGTCCCCAATCTGAGTACGCTTTTCCAAGCAGTAACTCAACCTGCAAAAGGATTTTATGCCAAACGAAATATATTCGAATAAGTTGGGTGAAGGCAAGGGCTTGATGGATCAAGAAGAAAATATGGGAACATGGAAAATATCCCTAACATGTGTGTGTCCTACTTTTTAGAAAAAAATGTGTCCCCATATTTGTGTCCGTATTGTACCCATGTTTTTGCTTCTTATATGTAGATCTTCGAAAGACAAAATGAATGAAAAGAATAAGTAATCATTCAAAAGAATAATAAATGTTGTACGAATTAAAATGTTATTCACATTTGAAAAGGACTTTTCAATAATTATTTAAAACAAATATGAATTTTTCAATGATACATTGAAAATTTATGAAGTTTAAATAAAAACAAGGGAAAACAAGAAATAATTTACTAAATTCCCCCCATTTAGAATCCACTAGGGCCAAACAAAATATTCTGGAAAAAGCTTCTCCAACTAGAGTTAATTCAAGCCAAACCCTTCAGACACAATATGTTAAACAGCATTCTATCACCTCCTTTTTCAATTTCTGGGTACCCATTACATAATTTGCACCTTTTTTTTTTTTTTTAACGCCAAGCTTTCATTGCAAATAAATGAAAGAATACATGAAGAATATATTTATTCACAATAACCTTATGCCACAAACTGTCCAAGTCACGAGGAATGTGCCACAACCATTTAGCCAACAAAGCCTCATTTTGCGCCTAAGATTCTATGTACCCAAACCCCTAAGCTCCACTGAGTCACAACCTCCTCCCAAACAAAGGGCGATCAAAATCAAAGAACCGAAAAAAATCTCCAAATAGACCAAACGTAACGTGTTGGAATTGTAGAGAAAAAGTTCACTTTCGGACAGATTGTATAAGACCAAAGAGGAAACAGAATCACAAATCTGGAGATGATGATGATTCTATAAATTCAACAGAAGACATTGGGGATGCTTTAATCCTCAGCATGGACAGTTCGATTGAATCCTGGATTTTGGATTCAGGTGCATCTTTTCATTCGTCTCCAAATAAAGAGTTGTTCAGAAATTTCAAGTTTGAAAATTTCGAGAAGGTGTATCTTGTCGACAAAAAAGATTTGGAGATTAAAGGAAAAGGAGATGTCTGCATAAAAACTCCGGCAGGAAATCAGTGGACATTAAAGGATGTCAGATATATTCTTGGTCTCAAAAGGAACCTGATCTCTATTGGTCAGTTGGACAACACAGGTTATGCAACAAAGTTAGGGAAAAGTTCGTGGAAGATTATGAAGGGTGCTACGGTGGTAGCACGTGGCTCAAAATCTGGAACCTTATACACCACTGCAGAGTGTATGAACATAGCTGCTGTTGCTGAGAATGCTTCAAATTCAAGTCTACGGCACAATAGACTCGAACATATGAGCGCGAAAGGAATGAAGAGGCTAGCTGCGAAAGGAGTTTTAGAAGGTCTGAAATCTGTTGATGTGGGTCGTGAGAACTACGTTATGAGCAAGCAGAAACGAGTTAGCTTCACAAGGACCGCCAGAGAATTGAAGAAAGTGCGGTTGGCAATGGAACCATATGTGGAGCAAGGTTCGACGAAGCAAGTGGGAGTTGAGCTTGAGTTGCAGGAAAACTCACTTAGTGATGTTGTAGCAGATACTCATGAAACTCCTGAGACTACTGCAGAGGAACTAGATGTGGAGCAAGGTTCCAAGACCACGAAGCAAGTGGGAGTTGAGCTTGAGTTGCAGGGAAACTCACCTAGTGATGTTGTAGCAGATACTCAAGAAACTCCTGAGACTACTGCTGAGGAACCAGATGTGGAGCAAGGTTCCAATACAACAAAGCAAGTGGGAGTTGAGGTTGAGTTACGGAAAAAATCACCTAGTGATCTTGTAGCAGATACTCAACAAACTCCTGAGGTTGTTGCAGAGGAACCAACAGTAGAGCAAGTGACACCTGAACCGGTGTTGAGAAGATCATCCTATACTATCAGAGTACCAAATATGTATGTACCTTCATTACACTATCTGTTGCTGATGAAAGGGAACCACAACCCTTTGAGGAGGCCCTACAGTTGGAGTATACAACCAAGTGGGAGCAAGCCATGGATGATGGGACGTCTAGGCTTCAAAAATGCGTTAGATGATGGGACGTCTAGGCTTCAAAAATGCGTTGTACTGAGATTGAGTACGTGACAATAGCTGAAGCTGGAAAGAAGATGATATGGATGACTGACTATTTGGAAGAATGAGCAAGAAGTAGCACGAAGATATTCTTTATAGAGATAGTCAGAGTGTTATACAGTTGGCGAAGGAACCCGGTCTATCATTTAAAGAGAAAACACAGAAGATGATACCATTTCACTTGCAGGTTAGTGAAAGATGGTGATGTGTTTGGAGAAGATAGAGGGTGCAAAGAATCCAGCAAACATGTTGACAAAATGTGTTGATGTTGAAATATTGAGGTTGTGTAAAGCCTCAATTAATATGGTGCCATGAAGATGCTCATGGTCGTTTGAGAATGAAATTCTTGGTTGACTAGATCAGTCTGTAGAATGGTTAGGTTATGGAGCCTGCTTATTTATAACTTGGTCAACGGTTATATTTGGTAAAGTTATGATAAATAGCTATATATAGTAGATGGTTAAATCTGGTAAAGCTATATATAGTAAATAGCTATATATAGTAGATGGTTAAATCTAGTAAAATTTACTATATATAGTAGATGGTTAAATCTGGTAAAGCTATATATAGTAAATTGAACTATATATATATCCGGTCCGGTAGAGGTTTGAAAATGTATTCTCTGTAATTCTCTCTTACTGTACATACATGAAGTCATCAATAAAAAAATCCTAATCCTTTTAGCCAGGGTTCTTCGTGCACTTTTCTCTATCCTATTCGTTGTGTTCATTTAGATCGAGTGTGTGCGTTGTTGTGCGACCCTAACAAGGGAGGCACACAGTTAAGGCTGATAACAACTCATACCTGTTAAAGTATTGATAAAAGATTAAATTTATTGTAACTCATCCACTTAAGCTTTTGGGTTCAATGGTGGTTTAAACATGATAACAAAATAGGAGGTCATGTGTACAAACCTCTAGTGTCAATTTCTCTCCAATTAATATTGATAATCGCTTGTTGGGTCTTCAACAAATTTTCAAGAACACAAATGAGGATTGTTAAAGGATTGATACAAGATTAAATTAACCGTAACTCATCATCTTAGACTTTTAGGTTTAGTGGTGATTTAAGAATAACAGCCCCTTTGATTAATGCTTTCTTGTATGAAACAACCCTTCGTTTTCCTTTAAGGTTTTCAAGGGACACCAATCCAACCTTACCCATAGCATTCAAAAGAACCTGAAAAAAAAAACAGTCATCTACAAACTTCTCCTTGTCTAGAATCTCACTGCCCTATCTAAGCTACAGGCACTTCTAAGGAAATCTCTAAGCCACGCCACGGTTCCCAGCTCCAACTGTAAGCTATCCCACGTTTCTCCCTATTTTCCTCCACAAACACCTTTCTATCACATATGAAAATAATTTTCAACCGGCACTCTCTTTCTTCATCTTAGAGTTTCATCTTTTGTAGTCCCCAGCTCTAAAGTTCTGCTCCTACCTCGCAACTTAGAGCCTTTACTTAGTTTGAAAGGAGTTATAACATCATTGATCCCCAACAGTCAGATAAATTCAAAATTTTGAAGTACAATCAATTTTTATAGAAAGTTCAAGCACCAAAACAAAATATTTGAAAGTAGAAGAATCAACCCAAGTAAGCATGAGAGAAATTAGAGACAAAAATAGATTTAAAACCAAGTAAAATAAACCGAATAAGGAATTAAAATATCTTCCTAAATTAGTAGCACACACAGTTTAGACTTCTTAACATGGTGTAATTTGGGGTCTGCATTATCTTATAGTTCATTCACTGGCATTTAAAATAGTCCTAAATTTGGCTTTGACTTGTTAGGTTAATATTTCAATCCTTCTATTGATGTGCTATGTTGGGGGGGTGGGGAGTTTACTGTTGACTAAACTCACTTGAACAGGATCAATCGGTAATTTTGTTTTCATCTTCTCGCCCTCAGCCATACTTCCTAATGGTACACTTTTAAGACGTTCACGGGAGTCCAAAAGGAATTGAACAGCCTGCAGTGAAAGGATGCATTTGTAAAATCAACGGAATTAAACACAAGCATGAATGCCAACTTAGGTCAATTACTGCCAAGAGCCAACGTAATCAAACTATTACAACCACCCAGCATTTGATTTATGCCAAACAAAACGAATATAAACCATACTTGAGCATCAATAGGTAAATCTCTAATTTTGGTTACTCCTTTCGAGAAAATTACGTAAAACAGCAACAAAAGGAGCGCAATAATTATTCCATAAAGTAAACAGATGAGAGACTACTACTAAAAGTAGCACGACAAGTAGATGAAGAAAAAATTAGGGGTAATATTCTTTCATTTACGTTATGTTGCATCAAGAAATACATTTCTACTTTATGAATAATTGAAACAAAAGGAAAACTAACCAGTACCAGACCACTCTAATAGGAATTTTATTACAGTACTATAAGGGTTTATTAGTAATTAGTTAAGGAGGTTGTTATGAGATTTTCGTTATTAATAAAGAGAGTGGGAGATGAAGAGGTAGGCATTGATTCAGTTGGTTTACGACTTAGAATGATCTCAAGAAAGGAGGTAAGTATACAACAACCATTTCCTGCCCCTAGTAGAGGCGACTTCGAACTTCAATTCATTTAAAATAATTTAGTTACAAGTTTTAAAATTTCCCTCATTTTTTTTAAGAAATGCCTTTTCATCTATATTTGCAAAATTTTAAAAAGAAATTGAAACAAAAATTTGAAAATAATCGATGTTATCTATAAATAAGGTACTGTATATTTGTTAATATTTCAACAAATTCAAATTTATGAAAGATGTAGCTCATAAGGGATAAAGAGTCCTTAAGTTATTTACTTTAAATATAAAAAAAAAATCATATATACTTATTAGATAAAAGAAAAAATTAAGGGAAAATGGACTTTTTAGTTCCCAAGTTTTCATGTGTGTGTTTGATTGATGAAGTTTTAAAATGTATCTTATTAGTCCCGGAGTTTTTAAGAATAGGTTTAAAAGGTCCCTATCAGTGTGTTAGAGTATTTTTTATTATTCGTCATATTTGAAAGGCTAAATTATTGAAAATACCCTTGAACTTTGTATTTCATTTCAATAATACACCAGAACTTTAAAAAATTTCATTAATACCCTCGAACTTAAAAAAATGTCAAAAACCGATAGTATATGAAGGGAAACTATTTAACTATATTCTATACCCCTAAGCTTTATACCTCGATTCAATAAGACCCTAAATTTTCAAAAGTTGCATTAATACACTTAACCTTTCAAAAAAAGTTGAAAAATATCATTATCGCGTTAGTGTATGGACGAAAACCATTTATTTATATGCCATCGTCTCCCTCTTCCATTTCATATCTCTCTACTTCAATTTATGGTCTAATTTTCTATTTTTTCTCCTCTTCTTCCATAATTTTTTAATCCCCTTCTTTCATTCCCCAATCTCTAAAACTATCCTCCTTCAATCAAGGCACACATGCTATAGCAAGAAGAAAGGAGAATAATAAAGCTGCCAGAGACCTTAGGACTTAAATGTTTTACTTTTAACAAGGATGTATGTTAGTAGTTTAGTGAGAATTAATATGTTTGAGTTTTAATACACAAAAAGAAAGGTACGCTAAGAATTTGAGTCATTAACCCTTTTTATTTTTTATTTACTTTACACATTGTCAACCGGTAATTTCTAATACTGTAACTAACCTCATCTGGTTTCCCAGCAGCAAGTAACGCATTTGTAAGACCACGCAGAACCTCAAAGTTGACATCTTCAGATATCTGTTCCACAATCAAGGAAAAGGCAATTTATCAGATGATAAAGACATGGATAGTTCCAAACATGACTTTACACCTCTCAATATCAGCACCTTGGGTCATTGACAATTCATTAAAAGAATTGTATGCATTTTCCAATTTCACATGTACATGAACAACGGAGAACGTACCAAGCAATCACAAGCAAAAACTCATACATTTATAAAGATTTTTTAATAAAAGATTTCAATGGATTAAATAGATATCGAATAGCTGCTATCACCCATATTTAAAGGTTATTTATTAATTCCTATCAAGGTAGTAAATTTTCATAATATTTGTAATTTTTATATCTACATTGCGGTTCCTTGGAGGAACAACCACCGGATGAATAATATAGTGTACCTTCTCTAATGAAATGCCTTTGTAGGGACTCATGTCCAAATCCTTTTGCAACTACTTTTTCTCATTGCTTTGTAGACACTAAAGTCTAACTTCTTTTTGTAACCATTCTCTCTAAGTTGACAACTTAGAGAGTCTTATAAGGCCTAGGTTTCGCACATCCTCCTCATGTACTTCTCATAATCTTGACAAAGAGTTTTCAGTTTCTTATCGAAAATAAAATATTGATATTGGCTAGAAAGTTATTTACTTTTTATAGCCTCTAAAGGATAAAATAAAAATTAAGACGGACTGTTATGATGTAATATGCTAATGTTATTCTCTGAGCTTTTATTGATACAAACATTTCTATAAAATTTGTTAACCAATTTCTTCATAGGTATTGCTATTGTCTAATATTGTTCTCAAATATGTACTATTTTAGATCAATACTAATGCTATATGCAAATAAAGAACACGAATAAGGAAAAAATCAACTTTTGGCCAAAAGTTTTCACTAATAGGTCATTTTAGTAACTCAATTTTCAAAAGATACACTTCAGCATTTGAGTTTTTGGAAATAGGCTTAAATACACTGTAAGAAAACCATTAGACCTTGAAACAAAAAGCTGACTTCTTCTTTTTCTTATTTAATTATTAATGCCACTTAGAAAAAAAAAAAAAAAAAAAACACAAAAATACAACGAAGCATGATCAGATCCTTTTCCTAATCGTCAGAGAAGACTAACCCTTGTGGCACTCTTGTATGCCGCAATACTCCCATCATAATCTTTAAGTTTATATTTTACTTCCCCAAGCAAGCGGAAAATGTCAGAATCATCTGACTTCACCTACATAAAGAATGAACGAAAAAATCATCTCTCCTACAAGCAACATCAATAGAAAAAAAGAAACACATATTCCAAATCCAAAATAATAGTAACCTTTATCAAATCTTCAAGCAAAGAGGCTGCTTCAGCATATTTACCCAATTCAGCTGAGGTAACTGCCGCCCCCTACAATGCACCTAATATTTGTTCAGAATTTCATACAAACCCAAAGCTTAAAATATCCACAATATCTCCATCCCTCACACATTCAATACAAAGTACATTATTTTACTCAAGTGATCCGTCCAACTTTGCAGAAAAAATTAATAACTGGCAATCCACTTCAAGTAACTTTAATCAGAAATAAAGCTTTTATTATCAATTAGAATTTAGCATGACATAGGAAGTCTAGAGGACTGGCCATTCTCAAAACCAAGCAAGACTAAAAGAAACAAGAAAGAATCCATATAGAATGAAAGATAAAGTTAGATCTAAAGGCACACGCTCCTATGCCATATTAAATATCTTTACTCAAGTCCAAGTAGACAAAATTTCTGACTTTCCTCTAAAAGTACAATCTAATTCCAACTACAAGCAAAAAAAAACTTTTTTGAAACTGCATGTGGTTTTTTTTGCAACTTTCTTTTGAAGGTTCTAGATAAGCTATGGCTTCGTCCAAAGTATGAGGAATTTCTTTGCGAAGGTAGAGATAGGTAGAAAAAATCTCATTTAGTGGGATGGAACAAAGTCATGTTGCCCGTGGAGAAAGGAAAGTTGGGTGGGAGTTTAACAAGAATGAATGAAGGTCTATTGATGAAAAGGTCATCAATATTTATCAGACTCAAATAAACTTTGGAACAAGTTGGCAACGGTGTAAATAACTGTAGTAAAGTTAGATGTTTTATTTTTTTACTACATTGTTTAATCTCAATGTTTAGGGTTAGATTTATTTACCNNAAAAAAAAAAAAAAAAAAAAAAAAAAAAAAAAAAAAAAAAAAAAAACTCCTAAAAAGCTTCAACTTCCACAATATTTTTTATGCTTCTTAATTCCAAATATTTTTAAGTTATCAGTAGAACAACAGGCAAATGTGTTTTATATGTGAGATTTTTGTTTAAATTCTTTGTTGGTGGCTGTTATCAGAAACCTTGAAGAACCACTTGATATTTGTTGGGACGAGGTTCTCAGATTAAGGTGCTGGTATGCATAAAGTAAAGGAATTACATTTTATGGCTAAATGGAATGATCGCATCACTTGATGATTTGTTGCTCTTTGGTACAAAACCATAGTCTCTATGCAACTGCAGCGTGTCCAAGGGGGTACTCAGCCCCATACAGGAGAAAGATTAATGCAAGAAGCCCATGGCATTTACCTTTTACATGCTACCAAACGGTGAAGTGGTTTTCTCTTCAAGGGTCAAAGCACCCTTATTTTATTTCAGGATGGTATAGTTGCCTTCAATGGACTCTTTTCCAAGACTTCATCAGGTGGTCAACTAATATAATTTTCCATTTATTATTGTTGGTTTTGGTCCAAGGAATTCCAATATTGGAATTTTCTGTTTCAAACCGACCTCTTCAATTTAGAAACTGTGGACTGGGCGAGTCTCTCCAACATTCTTTAAGTTCAATTAAACCAAACTCTTAGTTGCAAGAAAGTGACAGATGGATGAGACAGGTAACTTACAATCCCCTGTTCAAGATCCTTTAAGGGACTATCAGTATAACTGATAAAAGTTTGACTTAAAGCTATCTTGAAGGTTAAATCCTTTAGGCAGGTATGAGTTTCTCATTTGGACCATGGCATTAGAAGACTTGGAAACTTGTTTAGAAGCAACAGAAAGCACACTTCAATACATAAAGAATAGTACACGTTATAAAAATAAACAGAAAGCAATCATGCCTGATGTTTATTTACTTGCAGGGAAAAACTGACTTTTGGCCTTCTTTAAATGTTCTCAATAATCTTTTGAATTAAGTGGTTTAGGTTAGAATTTATAGTAACAAGCGGATAGAAGAGATTATTTGTATTCTTTATGTTAATTTTCAAAAGCTTGTAGGAATATGTACGTGGTTACAATACATACCCATATTACCATTAGATCTCTTTTTTCTTCATGATCATCATCAACAGTACTGAGATACTTGAAAGTGGAGTATACATTGGTAGTTCAAGAAATTTGTAAGATATTTAATGTTCTAAAGAGTTTGACCTAAGAAATGGTTCAATCTTAAGTCCTTTACCACTATGCCAAAAACTTGAGATAGGTGGCAGAAAACTGTAGTACAAAAATCATAACTATTAGAAGGCCGAGCAACAGAAAGATCACTCACTTCCATAGCAGTTGGATCTTTTGGGTTGCTACGAAGTGTAACCTCGTATTCTTTGAGCATATTCTGCCATGTCAGAGAGTAAAAGTGTTAAAGATCTCTCATTAAATTGAGTAAAGTAAGAAACATTTTAGCAAAGATAATTAGTTTGTTCAAAGGAAGCTACTATTTAAAGGAAAATTAGGCAAATTGAAATCACTCAAGCTGATACATCTAAATTTTAAACAGACAATCAAATTTCTCGACCTCTTGAAATTTTAAGAGTACTTATGGTAGTTAAGAAATGAATCTCATGAAATATATTCAAAATTCGGGAAAAAGCTATTTATAAACCTAAACTCTGAGAGCTGTATCAATTCAAACCTCAAACTAATGTTGTATCAATTTATACCTCTTTAGTGATTTATAACTATTTTCACTTAATTTCATTTGAAATCACCTAACCACCACCAAAATCAGTTTGTTCTTCCCCCAAAATCATATCAATGTAATAAAATTTCTTCCCCCTAAACATGAAAATGAAAAATTACACATACGAAGAAAAAACCGTTAAGATTCATTTTATTTTAACATTTCTTTATGATATTATGTTAATCCTTACATTTAAGTAACTCTTATACAAATGTGAAATTTATGCATTAACAGTTTTAAAACAAAATCTTAGTAGAGGATACAAATTAATTCACTCACAAAGGTTTAGGGATTTGATTGATATAATTATTAGTTTGAGGTTTTACGTGATAAATCCTCAAAGTTCAGAGATATAAATTGACCCTTTCCATTATACATCTTAATCTTAATTAATTAAAAGGTAAGAACAACCTTTAGATTTGTTTTTGGCAAATATCAATTCACACCTCAAAACTTTAGGAGTTCTATCGATTAAAACTTTAATAATTGTATCAATTTAAACCATGCACCTTCGTAACTGAATCAATTTAGACCAAAATCACTTAAATAAAATTACTCTTATCTAGATATTCCATCGAAGTATAAAAAAGAATCGATACACAATTCTTTCTAAGTAAAGAAAAATAGAAAAAGATGAGAAGGTGAAAAAAAACACTTAAATTTAATGAAAACAACTTCTATCATCTATTCGATTCTCACATTTTTTCTCTAATTAACATTATTCATTGTATTTTAAAACATCTTATATACGTAAAAGTTACGGATTAACCATTTTAAAACAAAGTTATAATATAGGGTTTAAATTGATTCGCCGGTGAACGTTAAGTTTAATTAATATAATCAATAGCCTGAAGTTTTAATTGATACAACATTCAAAATTTAAAATAAAAATAAAAATAAAGGTTGGTGGGTTTATTTCTATGACCCAAAAAGTGAAAACTTGGAAAACAACATTAGATCTCATTAATGTTTCCAAATTTTAAATATATTACCCAACACATTCAAAACATGTGAAAATATAAACTAATTATGTTTTTCATTTTAAGTTCCAGATTTAGGATCACCCATCAATGCACCCTAAACATCTCAGACAGAAATCCAAGCATGCAATATCAAAAGCACATAACATCTATGAATGCCTAGGTCATTGAAACCCAAAGAGAATAAAAAGAAAAAGTATACTTTAGACATTGAATCCAAAAAAAATTTCTTATGAAATCATTAAATGGAGTTGGAATAAATTATCTTTATAGCAAGTTGGGGATGATTAAGGTATACGTCCAACTTGAAGGGTGTCAATCTGTTATAGCCACTTACAAGAATGTGGTTTAAGTGACAAGAGACAGAAAACATTTCGAGGATATTACCTGAAGATTACTTTCTTCTTCTTTCGATAGTTTGTTATCTACCACCACAGAATCCTCAACAGGACTGATACTGAAAATGTTAGGCCAAAAAAAAAAAAATTCCAGACTTTTATCCAGCAATCAGACATGCATTGAGGAAGATTTCCAAAACAAGAAATTTTTTTGCAGCAAGCTTCTGTCACTCATACGAAAGGCTTTGTTGAATGAAACATCTTCCACAAGACAGACATACAAAACATCCCATCACATTTCCAAATTTCAAGAAACTCAGACATAAAATAATGCACAATCAAAGCCTTAGAGATGGGAAACTTATGGACAAAGTTCTTTACGACATTTTGTTTCAAACAGTGCATATTGAGCTTACTCTGCATCTTGAAACAACTTGTTTTAAAATCTCCCAAAAGTCAGGAAACCATATATATGCCTGGGATGTGATTGATATATTTTTTTCCTCAAGCAGCAGGAATAGAAATATTGAGAAAATGGAAGTAAATTTGATGTTGTTCAATTCTCTCTATCTCTAAAGAAATTCCTTGAGATGAATTTTGCAAGACAAAAGAAAAAAGAGGGTGTTACACAAGCCTAACCAATTAGCATTAGTTATATTAAAAATAATAAGAGACAATTGCTCAAAGGATACAAACACAGAGGAGAGAGATAAATAACAAATGAAAGAAAAATACAGAAAAAATATGCCTTGGCCACCAACATATCCAAGCTCCAATGCCAACCATGAAGACTTCCCACCTTTTCATGAACCAATGATGAAAAGAGAGCAAACACTCCTCAACCCATCATTCTCGATGAGTAATCTGACTGCTCTCTGAAGATTTTTTTCACAATAATATTGCACTCTTTCAAAAAAAGACAGTGAACTAATGCACGGGCAGATTTGTTGTGGGTTATTTGACGTAAAAGAGAAGTTTGAAGGAGAGATCTTGCGACCAACTTTAAGATCATTTTTCATAAGTGTCTTTGGGACTGAAGTCTGGTTACTTTTGTAATTTCTCTTGCTTTGTTTACACAATGGACGGCATTCACAGATATTCTTCCTTCTTGTTGGGTCCACTATGGTGCATTTTTCTTGAGGCGGCAGCAAACGTTGGATATTAACTTTATCTTGTGAGGATGCTAGTTTGCTTAATCCTTATGGAATCGTATGTTAAGCTTGTTTATGCTATATTTGGATCATAGAAAATATTGTTGCTCTATAATCAAGGAGGTGCTTCAAAACACTTCCTTTTGGATAAGGTATAGCCCTTTGGCAATCTTCCCCCCGAGTTATGGAGTATTTTGCTCAAGAAGAATAGTATGATTTTTTACAGGGTCGAGGGATCTTCAGTGTTTGGTGGAGGCCTTATTCATATAGCTTCAGCTTTCTTTTGCAAGCTCTTTTAAGTCTTTTGGGTGAATATATTGAAAACATTTTTTGTTCTTCAAATGTCTATTTATTTTCATGATTAATCTCTACGTGGTTGTATTTTCTGTTTGTACTTTTTTTTTTCACTTCCTTGGGGAGTTTGTATCCCTTGAACAATTATTCATTTTCATTATATCGATGAGAAATTGTTTCTTGTTAAAATAAAAGGTCAAGAGATCTTTGAAGGAGGTTTGGGAAGTTGGATTTAATGCTTGTGAGTGTTTCTTACTCGATTCTTTTCCTCTTTCTTTCCCTTTTTTTTTTTTTTTTTTTTTTTTTTTTTTTTTTTTTTTTTTTTTTTTTTTTTTTTTTTTTTTTTTTTTTTTTTTTTTTTTTTTTTTTTTTTTTTTTTTTTTTTTTTTTGGAATTATCAGTTTCATCTTATTCTCTTATTCTCTGGATTGGAGTCTTTGAACTCCTTTGGAGACTACCATTTTTGTATGTCCTTGTATATTCTTTCATTTTGCTTATAGAGAACTCAATTTGAATTTCAATAAATAAATAAATAAATCTAGTTGTAAAAGCAAGTGGGCACCCAAAATAATAGACATTTGAAAGAGCACATTCACAATGCCATTATTCATGTCGTAAATCAAGAATAAAAAATATAAGTGTTTTTGGAAAACTAACGCATAAAAGTACCTATGCAATACCTTCCAGAGGGCAGAAAGTCTCCGAGAGCAAAAACTAAGCCAAAGACCAAAACAGCTACACCTATTCCAATCTACTTGCAACACAGTTGAATTAGCATTATATAAAAAGAAAAAATAAAATCGATCTGAAACACACATTTCTTACCTTGGTACCAAGTCCAATTGTTTTCTCTTCCGGTTCCACTGGTGCATCATAGTCAATTGCTCCAAATTCTTTTTTATTGTCTGCCTTTTTCTTCTCAAGTGCTGATCTGTATAGTTTTCATTATAAATTTGAAGTGTTCAGAAAGTTTTCTCAAGTGCTGATCTTCCGGTTCCCCTACTTCGATAAACTTTACAAGCTGAAATTAAAAACTGCAACAGAACTTTTAAAAAAATGTTTTCCTAGATTATACAGGATTTATTTCCTTCTCCTTGAGGACTTACTGTTCCCTCCTTTCTTGCATATTCTTTCTATAATTCTCAGAAGTTACAACTCAGTATGGTAAACCCCTACATGAACTGGGATAGGAATATCAACATATCGAAATATATGCTGCCCAGAAGAAAGAAAATTGGACTCATTTTAATGGGTTGAAGAAGTTACTATATATACTAGGAGTTTTCATTTATAACAATCCAGACAAGATCATTTTTTTAAATCTCACGGTTTTTTTCAAAGGCTGAGGGGTCAAAATATGATGGGCCTAAAGGTTCTGAAGACTTTTTAACGTCCACCGGTCTAATTTCAAAAACTTACAGGGTAAAAAATAGTTGGCCTAAAAGAGCTTAAGGGTTTCTAAGGCCCATGGATGTTGTTTCTATGGGTCCTAAAGAGACCAACTTTAAATTAAACAGTGAATCTTCTGGGACTAACCGAAACAATATTATTGAGAAAGGACAAGCCTCATGGAAGCCTACGGTTTAACAAAGGGAAGCCGCTCCAATTGTAAATTGTGGGGGTGAAAGATATGGGTCCAATGACGCCCATGAAGTGAGGGTTGAAAGATATCAACAGAGAAATTGAGTTGGAGCCGGCCAAGGGTATCAGGCCCTCATACCTGATATTCTCCTTTAGAGCCTTGATCCTACTCGAGGTTTGTCCTCTAGTTCTTTCGTTCATTCACCACTTATTTGACCCTTCTCCTTCTAGTGAGTATGTTTTAGCGTCCCCAAAGAATGTGAAAGTATTCGTCTGGCAAGCTAGCCACGGAAGAGTGAACACTTTTGACCAACTTTTGAAGTTGTCCTCTTTGATCAGTTCATTTTGTTACATTCTTTATCCAAGGGCAGAGGAAAACCAGGATCATACCATTTGGAGCTGCGACTTTGCACAACCTATGTGGAGTTACTTTTTTGATGTGTTTGGCTTCCAAATGCCAATAACAAAGATTCCAGCAAAATGATCGAGGAGTTATTTCTCCATTTGTAATTTCGAGAAAATAGGAGATTTGTCTGGCAAGTTGTGGGGTTTGTGAGATGAAAGGAACAATAGAACCGTTAGAGGAGTAGAGAAGGGCTCCTTGTGATGTATGATATCTCACTAGGTTCTATGTTTCTCTTTGGATGCTAGTGACGAATTATTCGTCACGACCTCATTTCACTTGATTAGAGTCTCTTTTATTTAGTTAAGACTTCGTTTTGTGGGCTTTTCTTTTATGCCTTTGCATTCTTTCATTTTATTTTTTTCCTCTCAAGTGTGGTTATTAATCAAATTAAAAAAGAAAACCCAGCTAACTAGTTCAAAAGAGAAGAGCCTCCTTTACAAGAGCATATCGGCTGAGTGGTTTACACAATGCACATCCCCTATCAAACAGAGAGAGTAATATAAACCATGTGACAAAAAGAACGCTCCTTTTTCTTTCCCTTTTGACAAGAAAAATAATATCATGTAACCAAAAGAACTCACGGCAGCGTTAAAAACAAAATGACACCCTTCAGTAGAATGAGATCATAAAAGACGTTAGTAGACGTTGATAATTATTTAAAAGCACTGAAAAAAAAAACATTTTGAGAGCATGAAATGTCTTTTACTAACAAGCATCGACAGAGGGATAAAGAATAAAACAACTAAGAGAAGAAAACAGTCCTCCATAATACCTTTTAACTGCTTCTAGTCGTTTTTCAAATGAAGGGTCCAAAGATTTGTTATAAGAATTTTCATCGTAACGGGAAGTCACAGCAGGAGCCTCTACACATAATCCAAACAAAAAGAAATTGGGGACCAAAGAAGGATGTTATAAAAAAAGAATTAAAAAATCCAACTGAAAAAGAACTAGTAGAGAGAGTGAGAGAGAAGGGGAAAGAAAGGGAGAGAGGAAAAGAACTATCATGATGAAGAATGTTATAATAAAAGTAGAAGCCCACTAAAAGTATGCCATGCAAAAAAAAAAAAAAAAAAAAAAAAAAAAAAAAAAAAAAAAAAAAAAAAAAAAAAAAAAAAAAAAAAAAAAAAAAATCCAGATCTACGTGCAGTAGCTTTAAGTATCAACAAAAAGGGAGGGAAGGGAATAGCCTAAGAGAGGAGAAACAGCCAAAGTATTCAACAGCACAATATCAAAGCCTCCTATCAGCCGTCAGCAATGTCCTTTTTAGACACCTTCACCTTCCAAGCTTTGTAAAAAGACTAGAACAACTAGACATGAGAAAAGAGAAAAAAATCAGAAAAATTCCTAGCATGTGCAATGGCATGGCCAATTGATTGAACGACAGCTTGTGGATAGAAAGTCATCCAATGCTCTGGTATATGAAAAGGAGGATCTTAGAAAATAAAACTTAGTGGCCATGTGAGCTATGCCTATGCTACTGACCTGGACCAAGTTCTAGGAAAACACAATAAACCAGAAATCATTACTACAATTATGGTTGAACTTGCAGAAAAAGTCTCTCATGACACTCCCTCCCCCCAGCCCACCCAACCATGCTGGAAACCAATGAATTTTCCAACCGAAACCTAGACACCCACCATGAACCACCCATAACAACACCATTCCATCTCAATTGACTGAAAAAACCCCCACCATCGAAGTTGACCTGACTTCTTGAGGCTCCAGAGTCCACCTTTTTGAAGCTTTAAGGGACAAAACCTTCTCCATATCAATTCACTGAAGCACCCTCCAATGGTTGACTGAAACCCTCAAGCCCCTACTAAATGCACCGTTGAACCAAAAGTTCTTCAAGGAGACACATTGACAGTCAAGTCCTCTTACTAGAGAAAATAACAAGCAAATGGGTTATGCTCTAGAGCTGGTACAGTTAGAATAAATGGGGGCAAAACCACAAGGCTCATTCCGACATGGGATCAATGAAAAGCGTGGAGCAAGAAGTCACCACCTTGTATAACTTGAATAAAAAGGAGAAATTAAGTGCCCCCAACAACTAAACATCTTGTCCTCAAGGGGCCTCATAAGTGCCCCCAATACTAGAGTAAGTTTTTACAACGAGGGGCCTCATAACTCCCTTGGTCATGAGAAACACCTTGTCCTCAAGTTGAAAGTCTGGAAATTGTTTATCAATTTAAATAACTCCCATGTGCCTTTGTATTCAGGCATGTGATTCCACTTGATTAAGCATTCCCAATTCGTGTGAGCCTCACTCCACTGTAGAGCTCTCACATCTTCCGGTTCCAAAGCCTAAGACTTGTTTTGTTGTAAAAAGCCTGCCAGGGACACAACTTGAGACTTGTTTTGTAGACAAGCCACACAACTATTGACATATTTCTTAACATCAGCTTTCATTTCTGCCCAATATAATTCTCCCCTCCACCTTTCATAGGTTCTGAAAAACCCCGAATGTTCTCCGAAATCATGGCATATGTGGATAATGGTGGGAATCAGCCTTGAATCCTAGGACAAGACCAATCTCTTTTGTGCATTAATTTGTTTGAATTCCGTGTGTACTTGGGTACACTCTCCTCACCCCTCTGTAATTCCTGAATAATCGAATGTGACTTCTGATCCTCATGACAAGACCAATCTTCCTTTGTGAATTAATTTGTTCGGATTCCGTGTGTACTTGGGTACACTATCCTCATCCCTCTGTATTTCCTCAATAATCGAGTGTGACTTCTGATCCTCATGAACTTCCTTTATTACCCTCTTTTACATCAATCAAAGACGGCACCCAAAGTGTAGCTATGGATCGCTGGAAGAGTACAAGTAAAAGCATCAGCCATTTGGATCTCTTGTCCCGACTTGTACTCAGTGTCAAAGTGGTACCCTAACAGCTTGGCAACCCACTTATAAGACTTTGGTTGAATCTCTCTCTGTTTTAGTAAGTATTTTAGAGCCATCTAATACGTGCAGGTGGTGAAATGATTCTCCAACAGGTACGGTCACCATTTCTAGAAAGCCAAAGTAGTAGCCATCAAATCTCTTTCATAAGCGTCCTTGGACCATAGACAGAGTTTGGCTCAAGAAAGGCTGGTCAGCTGTTCCATGACAAAACGGCCCCGATCCCTGTGCTAGACACATCAGTATCCATCATAAGCGAAATGGAGAAATTGGGCAAAGCTAGCATTGGTAGTGTCTTCATAGCATTCTTGGGCTTGAGCAATGCTTGCTTCTTCATTCCACACAAACGTATTCGTACTCGCTAACTAATGCAGGGGGCCATGATTTCTCCATAGTTGACCATAAATCGTCCTTAGTATCCGATCAAACCCAGGTATTCATATTCGCTAACTAATGCAGGGGGCTGTGATTTCTCCATAATTGACCATAAATCGTCCTTAGTATCCTATCAAGCCCAGGAACCCACAGAATTCCTTCCACATCGTTGCAACTAGACATTACACCATAGCTCCAATTTTCTGGTCATTTGCCTCCACTCCCCAGCCATTGGAATTTATAGTCTGTTTATCTTTTGAATGGAGGTTCCTCGCGATTGGAATGATTTGGTCGTATTCTTTTGGGCACTTGGGTATTAAGTAGGTGAGAATTTACTAACCTTGTATGCAGCTGGGTCCTCGGCTTTTTTTGTTGTATTTTTTATACGACCCTTGACCAACTGGGTTGTATCCATGATATCATCTAGCCCAGCAGGCCTTTGAAAAAAAGAACTTCAGTCCTTACCACTGAGTCCAATTCGTTAGTGAAGGGATTTTTCCAACAATTCATCTGTCAAGTGTTGTAAAGGTGCTGTCTGTTCTTTGAATTGATTTCAGTAATCCGCCACCTTATCTTCTTGTTTTACGGCCAAAAAATGTGTGCATAATGCTCCTTCCTGCAGTGGCCAAAAACGCTTAAACATTTTTCTCTTTAGGTCACTCCAGTCACTCATCCCCTCATTCATAATCAATCGGAACTAATTAAGCACTCTTCCCTAAAAAAATCATAACAGACACAATGAGCTTTTCTTCATTCGATAACTAGTGAATCTGATAGTAACGCAAAGCCATGAACATCCATTTGTCCAGATTCTCAGCTGAGAACACAAGCATTACCACCTTCTTAAACTTGATTTGATCTTGTTGTATACCCATATTTTTCTTCAAGGAGGTTTCATCTTCCTTTATTTTGTGCCAAATGAACAATTATATTTCTTCTTCATGAACTTTTCTCTTTCCACTAGATGTCTCTGTGACAAATGACATCGAGATTTCCCTACAGATAGCTATTTCATGGCAAGCTTATTCAACAAATGTTGCGATTCAACTAAAGCTTTCTTCGTCTCCTCGCTGGTCCTTCGATTCTCCTTCATCTCTACTACCAAGGCATCCATTGTTTTCTCTATCGCAGTCTCATGGATTCCACCTAACTCTTCTCTGTTGAATCCAGCCTTTCATTGATCTTCTATTGTGCCATTTTCCCAATCTTCCCCAAGATTGAACGTTCTCTAATACCACTTGCCAGGGTTCAACTTCCTTACAAGATATATTGATATTACAAGTAGGAAAAATGATTGTAAAAGAGCCAGAACACCCAGTCCATTTCGAGAGGGTTGGTAATCTCTCCCTTCGAACATTGTTCTATCACAAAATACTTCCTACCCAAAACCCTACAAACAAAGCGTACATAAACCTTCCCAAATGCAATAGCCAGACATACACCTACACTGGGCTACCTATACTCCACGTTCCACTAACACCCACATGCATTCTAACAAACTTCCTTAGGTGTTTTCCCTTTATTGTCCCTCCAAGAGGAAGTATTCACAATTGGGGGTCTAACACATTCACACATCTGTTTGATGGTCGTTCAAGGATAATGTTAAAGATACATTAGTCTTGGTGGGTTGTTGTCTTTTGAATCTAAATTTCTATAACACCTAGCTTTCAGCATTTAGACATCAGTATCAATAAAAGCTCCAACTCTCCCTCAGTCACTTACTCACCTCACGAAGGAAAGCATGGAAGCTCCCTTGCTATCCAAGCCCGCCAACTCAGAACTAATGCACGTACCGCAAAAATGTAAAATTACATAAGCCTTTCAATTAAAAGATCAAAAAAAGAAAAAAGAAGAAAATGATGAAGAAACTTACAGGAAAATTAGTTACACTTACGTGTGGGTACTGTACTGGATTGTTTTGGAATTGGTTTCCTACATCAGCAGTGAGTGCAAAGCAAAGGAAAACACAAAATTAGCAAAGTCACCAAAAAGTGAAACTCACATAAATTGAGAAGATAATTTGGAGATTGCAAAAACATAAAAACTGATCAGCTCTTATCCCCAATTTTTCATTAGATTAGAGAACAGTTGCTGATGACAGTGTAAAATTAAACACCATATAGATAGCATGTCCAGCCTTGTACAGTTATTAATCCAGTCACCCCTTCTACTAGTGTATTATTTCAATTAGTCAGTTACTTTTAATTCTAAAGGGGGACAAGGTCACTAACTTGCTATTCTTTCTCTCTTTTTCTTCATTCTTTTTCTCNTTTTTTTTTTTTTTTTTTTTTTTTTTTTTTTTTTTTTTTTTTTTTTTTTTTTTTTTGGCGTACAAGAGCAGCTCAATGGGATTACCTGTTCTTCCAGATTCAACTGACATCGACTTAGAGAAACAACCCCTTTTACTACTTCTCATTGCACACAATTTTTTGTAATAGGAGAAGGATGCTTCTTCTTTTTTATATATTTAGATATTCAATATGTTATTGAATATCCTCTTGTAAAGGGCTTTCACTTCATTTGTAGTCGATGTTTACCCATATAGAGGAGTTCAATTTTAGGGATCTTGTGTCTTCAAGTTGGTGATCTTCCGTCTTCACGCATTTAGTTGGTGCTACTCCTTATCATTCAATAGGTCAATGGTGGATGGCTTTCAATGAATCAAAGATAAGAAATAAGTGTTCTTTATTGTAAATATTTGGAAAGAAAGTTTTAAGTGTGAAGGGAGAGGAAAAAAAATAAAACTAGAGGAGTTGGTTGGAAGAAAGGAAAAAAAATCAAAGACAATATTTGTCTTTCAGTGTTTGACATTTCAGTGTTTGCTATTCTCTCTTTTACTGATTTTGTGGTTATGCTCTTCAAGTTTTTAAAGTTCTTGTAGTGTGTCAGCAACTTTAAGGATGATGGTTTAAGAAAGAAAATAATTTCAGTAAGTGTAGAAGTAGAAGAAAAAATAGTGTAGGATTAGACATCAATGGCAGAGCAAAAGTTGTTCCAGAACAGTAGCAAAAATTTGTTGATTCTTAAAGATGTCAAAAGAATGT